CCAGCCAACGCTAAAACGTAAAATTACAGACTTTTGCGTGACAGCTTTGCGAGATTTTGTGTTATATTATTCTACTACTTGCGATTTTTCTGCATGGTTAGCTCGATGCGCGATGTCTGAATTATTCATAAAAACTTCCTTGACGGCATTTCTATGACGTTTCGTGCAAAGATGCATAATGCAGTTTTGGCGGGTCATCGGTCGCGACGCGCCAGACATTACCGTAATCGGTTTACCTGCGCATCCAGCATATATGCAGAACATTAAAATAGGCGTAAATTTCGCAGTAGCTATCTAGCATTAAAATTATTGAATTTTGAAACAGTTTTAGGACTTTCTTTAACTCCACAAATAGGCAGAGAGGAAGTTTTGAAAAATTTGGATAAGTGCATAATTTGATAAAATATCATTCTCCAAATTCCAGCGTCATTTTTGCTCTCGTTAATCGCAATAAACGTTCACGTAGAATCCCTAATATGCATAAAAAATTGGAGCTATTTCTAGCTTTCTCTACTCTCATCAACGATGCCCTCCACCGTGGAATAACTCAAATTAAGCGTAATCTGAGCGTATACGAGCTATTTCGGGAGTACGGAACACTACCGCTAGCAATGACGTCAGCCAAACTTCCGCGTACAAGTGGTGTAACTACACAACAGATACCTATTTATGGGGACGCATAATTACGCTGGAGCCTAGCATGTACACTAACTTTCCAAGTTGTATAGATTTTGGCTGCATACCAAGTCAATCATTTGCTTGTCTGCACGTAGCTGCTGCAATCACGTACGTCCCACTCAAACCTACGAGCAGATAAGCGAATTTGTGAAGTGTAGCCGGTCCCTATAGTACACCACCCACTCCAAGCAATTCACAAAAACAAATTTCAATTCTAGAGTCAACGATTTACTAAACATCCAGTTACAGCCCAAGGCTATGCAATTTCTGTGATATTACTCGCAAACTGTGGCAAAAAAAGTTTGAAATACGCAATTTGGCGCAAAATCACGCTCTCGCTCGTCATATGAAGACTTATTGCTTATTTTAGAATATATTAAACCCAGACGGATTGAAAATGCTCGTCATTTTCTGTCTCAACATTACCACGTCAGATTTGCATGCGAAAAGATGAATAGCCGCGCATGGTTTCCGAAGGATTTTAATCATGACAAAATCTTTTCCAAACGATTCCACAATTCTGACATCATAGATGTTTGATCGACAAATTTTGCAACTTGAAGGAACAATCTAGGATGTCTGGGAAAAGCTGCTTTGCTTCTGGGAACTTATGCATTTTTGAGAGGATTGGTCCTTATCCTCGCTCAAAATGGAAAGGGTACGTGGGAAACTCGATTTTAGTTCCAAAACATATGCAGAAAAACTGGAAATAAAAGAACAGAGGATGGGGAAATAAGAAATAAAAGTAATCATGATCTAAAAAATGGTTTTATAACCTACATGTTTTCAAAAGTTATCGAAATATTTTAGAAAATTCTAGAAAATCAAAAGGAAGACAGTGAATAAAATTGCAAGCTTTCAAGAAAAAAAAATACTAGGAAAAGCGCTTTGAAGCAATTTTTGCCTTCTCAAGACAGAAGGAAAATCATTTTCAACGAGACAGGTATAAGAAAATTTTCAAAATTTCTTTCTGGGATCTTCTTAGGTAGCATTCCATGGCTTTTGCATCCCTTACCTCCCAAGATGGCAATTTCGCTCCTCAAAGTTGACATTAATTGTTTTTTTCCTTATAATGCGCTATGCATATCCAATTCCCAAGTAAAAAGATGAACTCATGACTTCTCCATTTCCTCCTTAACACATCCAGCATTTCAGAACCAAAAAAAGAACTTTTGTAGACACATCTGATCGGATATGCATTCGAAGCTGTTACTGCGAACAAATGCGCTAGAAGCTCATCGTCGCTTTGCACAAACTCTTCGAGTATGTTGTTTACACTCGCACATCCGCCGATTCCGTAAAATCGCGTGATAAGCTCGGAGCGTGCAGAACATCGTGCGATGCATTCGAAAACGGATTGTAGTGACAATTCACAACAACTATGAGTAGTTTTATGGTGTTTACGCTTTGTAGCAAGAAAAAAATTGCGTCATCAAATATAAGAACTACAAAAAAAAAATAGTCTACGGTCTCCGTAGCTTTCCACATTTTTTTGTAGTCAGAGATTTCTGTGTGCATTTTAGATTTCTCAGATACTGCGAATATCAAACATTGCATGTACAGCAGCATGGGAACAATTTCAGTAATTTTGGAAATATTTCATATAGGTCCAAATTTATTCGACGTTATTCAAAAAATGAATATGATATTCTATCAGGCATTCGAAAAATGTAAATAAATACGTTTCTCGCCATTTCTGCCCATTCAATACCCTACTCAATTAGGATGAACTATTAGCCAGACTTTGCTCTAAGCATTCCCATGCCATCTGCAACTTTCAAGTGCACAAACAGAAAAATCTTAATCGGTTTGCAAAAAGGCACTTGCAAACCTTCCATTGCAGATGCATTCTAAAAAGTCTCTTGTGCAAGACCAATAAATAAGGTAGAACCTAAGAATAAGAATTGCTAGATTGAAGCCAAGATATACTGAAGCAGATACAAACTATGGCTAGTCCAAAAGCGAATCTCTTATTTCTCTCAACTACCAAAAAAATTCATTTTAAGAAGTCACTTAGGGATTTCCCCTATGACTAACATGAATACTCCCTGTTGTCTGTACTTGGATTACAAAGTTTATCACTATCTAATGATAACCGGTGACCTATCGAAAAGCCAGAAATGTCTCCCGAAAAAAAATAGATTGTGTAAAAAACAAAGCTTTACATTGGAAAGTTGTTACATAAACTAGATAGTTTACCAGATAAAGAGACCCAAATTTCATTTTTTATACCCCATAGCACGATGAATCACGTAATCAAAGTAACTTTTCTGCATAACAAGGCTGAATAAACATTCTCAAACAAAAATTGTATTTGTTTTCTTTCACAAAAATAATTTGTAGGCAATATCACATACATAATTACGCCAAACTTTGTTATGGTTTACAAAATGTTAGCATATGTATTATACACGGAATAGTCATAGACTACACAAATTTGTCGTCTTGATTAATGTAGTGACGTGGTCTTTGGAAACTTACCAAAGGGTAAAATTAACCCCCAAGGAAATTTTTCTCAATATAAGAGACCCAAAAGCATTCAAAAAAATTGTAAAAATTGACAGAGCTTATGCTTGTTCAGTTGTGTACACTTCACTTATAGTATAACAAAGTCAAAAGGGCATAATAATATGAGAACTCAAAAGAAAATGAAATTAAAATAAAAATTACCTTCAATCTTCAATATCGATACTCGAAGACGTTTTCGTACAGGAAAATGTTGCAGTGTACAATGTAACAATCCAAGTCCAGTGGGTCTCGGCTCCGATCCGCTGTAATTCGACAACATTTTGTATTGATAAATCTGACACTATTGAGCAGCAAAATTTCGAAATCGCAAACACAGCTGTAATAGGGGGGATGACGCCCCACATAAACCATTCATTCCACCCACAAGCATTGAATATTATGACAAAAATCAGCAGCTATACATCGATTTCGG